CCAAAGCCATTCTCTCCAACTAAAATCTATTCCCATTATTAGTTCTCCCTCATAACATCATCCTTTAGAGCACTTATCACAGATTGGCAATATACATTTACTTGTTAGAGTTTTACTGGTGTCTCTCTCTTCTACTAGAGAGGAACTATCCCTAAACCATTCAACATCATAGCCTCAGGGCCTAATACTGGTCTGGCTCAGTATTTTTTTTTTTTTTTTTAATGAATGAACAAATAAATGAATACATGGAGACTAAAGCCATTACAAGACTAGTGAGAAAATCTAGATATATATTTTAAATCTCTTCATATGCTTTGCATATTCTAGAAACTTTTTTTAGGAGAAGAAACAGTATAAGACAACTTTTGACGAAAATTGGAATTGTTATAAAGTGATAAAGAGAGAAACTTCTACAGTAAGTCTCTGTCACAGCAGCAAAGAGACAATGGACCTGAAAGGGTAGATTAGGAGGATCAAGTTAATTTAGGCATGTTTATTATTAGCGCAGTGGTTACGAATCCGGGCTGCAAACCTTAAGGTCAGCAGATCAAAACTACCAACCACTCCGAGGGAGAAAGATGAGGCTTTCTGCTCCCGTAAAGATTTACAGCCTCAGAAACCCTGTACAGGGTCGCTATGGGTTAGAACTGACTTGACGGCACATAACAACAACAACATTCTCACACATGTCTACTGGTATCCACGCCTTCTTTGGCAACCTAAAAGTCTGGTTTGGAATAGTCACTGAGAATTTATAGCACTTTCAGATTTCTACCTTCCCTCAAAATAATTTTCTCTAAGATAGTTTACATTTTAATTTTTAAAAATGGTTCCATTAATATGAGATAGATATGTATATGCAGTTGTTCAAATAGTTCTCATACCTCTTGGAAATATCTTGTTTCGAGGCGCTGGTCTGTTTAGTACCTACAATTAAAAAAAAGAAGAAACAACATAAGTGAAGTAAGCACTAACACATTAGGCACAGCATAGATTCCGATCCAAATAACTCTTAACTTTGCTTTGCCACACGTTTCATTTCCAAATCTGCATATAATCCAAATACAACGGAAAGGAAATCCAATTTGTTTTTGAAAATTCATTTTTTCCTAGTTCTCCTGATTAAAATGTTCTCTCTTTGGGGACTGAATTTTTTTGTTAACAGAATAGCAGGAACCCTGGTGGCACAACCTTAAAGTGCTTGGATGCTAACTTTGGCAGATAAAGACCGGGCAGCCTGCTTTTGTAAAGGTGGCTGTTATTAAGCGCAGTCGAGTCAGTTACCAAGGAGTGGCTGGTGGGTGTCAACCACCAACCTTGCGGTTAGTAGTTCAGTGCTTATGCTACAGGGAAGTGCCACACCAGGACTCCTCCGTAAAGGAAAATCAAAGGGGCAATTCTATTCTGTCTCAAAGGGTTGGAAATTGACTTAGGGCAACAATAGAAGAGTAGCTCAGTTAGTACACTTTTCTCAGAAAAATCTGAGTTCTGTGCCAACCTCTTCCCATCTTCTGAAAGTACGTCCCTTGGTGGGGGATAAGGTAGTGGGGCGGACACCTCAGAGAATCAAGGTACCAAACCAGCACAGCTTTTATAGGCAACACCCGGCCGGGTCCCAGACAAGCTGAGCACGGCCAGCCTACGCCGCCCTGGGTACTTGCCCACCTCTGAGCCTGGTGCCAGAGCACGCTGTGGAAAAGCTTGGCACACTTGTGCAAATGGGTCGGGGTCCGGGAGGTCTTGCCCGGAAGGCTCGAGGGCGAGGAAGTGAAGCTCTGGGGTCTCCCGAAGCCGAGGGAGGCTCTCTTCCCTAGGGCAACCTTTCGGGAGGCCCCAGTCCTCGGTGTAAAATTGTGCCAGGGCTTAGGTCTTAGGGTCCAAACACGGCAAGAGACCCTTGTTCCTACCTGTGGCCTTACGGGAGGGTCCCGGAGCCCGGGCCTTGCGCCCCGGGAGCAGCTGCTCCGCCCAGTCAGCCATACCGGTGTGTAGTCAGAAGAACCCGGCGCCGGCGTCTCACCCCGAGGCCCCGCCTCCCTTAGCGTACACGGGGCGGGGCCGGGAGAGCGGCCTGCGTGGCTGGTGGAGGCGGAGGAGGGGACTGAGGGCCTGCTAGAGGCCCGGCGGGTAAGTAGACGCACTAGGGGATCTGGACTCGCGGGTGGCTTGTAAGGTGCTGAGGACCCCGGCGCCGCGGGCACACTAGGCCCCGCTAGGTGGTGATGGCCGAATGCCACGACGAGCAGAAATCGGGAGAAATGGCTTCTCTTGGATGCCGCAGGCACGCGTGCTGCGGTTTAATCCTCCCACGAGCGCGCCTCGGTGATGACCGAGAAGGATCCGCGCCACTTCCGTGGGTCTGGAGTCGGCCTTCCTGCTAGAAGAAACGACGGTCTGCGGGTCAGAAGCGATGTTCTCTCCACGGCCGCCGTTGCCGTCTCGGTGTAATATAGTGATTAAAGTGGCTGGATCATTTTGACCATTGTAGAGCTCTGATAGCATAGTGATTATGAATCTGGCTGCTAATCTCAGGGTCAGCAGTTCGAAACTCCCAGCTGTTCCGCTGGAGAAAGACGATGCTCCCGTAAAGATTCTTGGAAACCCTGTGCAGGGTCGCTATGAGTCGGAACTGACTCCATGGCATGTAACAACAACAACCAACTCCTAGGGAGCAATACCTTCCCCAACACTTGGGTGAGGAAGGACATCCAAACATTCACCCCTTTTGAATGACTTAAATGTGTTGCACTCAGATTTTTATCAGATGGGACACTGGAAAAGAAAAAAATCTCTAATGATTATTTGACATTTTGATTTCAGGCCCACCATAACTGGGTTTTTTTTGTGGGGGGGTTGCTTTATTTAGGCAATCTAAAGGAGCTCTGGTAGCGTAGTGATTACGAATCACTCTGCTAATCTCACGGTCAGCAGTTCGAAACTACCTGCTGTTCCACGGGAGAAAGCTGAGGCTTTCTGCTCCCATAAAGATTTACAGCCTTGGAACCCTGTTACAGGGTCTCGATGAGTCAGAACTGACTCCACCACAGCACATAACAACAACAAGTAGTTTATATTTACCCTGTCTCCTGGGTGTTCTAGAGGATTTTTGTTTGTTTTCTTTAAGTGCATCTTTCAAAACAATTCTCCGAGAATACTTTAAAAATATAACAGCAGAAATGATTTAACAGTTTTTAAAAACAGAACTTCTCACTTCCGCCCTGGATTCCCCTTTCCATTCATACTTCTTTCCTGCCTCTTCCTGCCTTTAAAACTTTAGCTTTAGGCAAATGTTGCCATTTTGGCTTCTTATGATTGGTTTGTCTATGGTATAGGCCTGCTCCACCGGGTGGGTTCAATTTCAGGTGTGAAGGGTGTTTAAGGGCCATAATCTGGGGGTTCTATCAGTCTCTAGTGGACCAGTAAGTCTGGGGTCTTTTTTTTTCTTCTTTTGAATTGTGTTATGTAGTGTTCTCCCACTCTGTCCAGAACCTTCTGTTGTGGTCCTGATCAGAGCAGTCATGGTAACCTGGCACCATCCAGTTCTGGTCTCAGACTAATGGAGGCTGTGGTTCGTTAGTCCTTTGAACGAATTCTTCCCTTGAGTCTTTGATTTTCTTCTCTCTTTGATCCAGACAGGGAAAGACCAGTAGTTGCCTCTGACATGGCTGCTTTAAAGATCCTCATCACTACTCACCAATGTAGGATGTCAAACATTGTCTTTGTGGACTATGTTATGCCAGTTGGCTTAGATGTCCTTAAGACTGTGGTCCCAAGTACAGTGCTTCAGTTCCTCATGGTTTTGTCCCTATATGGCAGCATCAGTGGGTTCAAGCATAGCAACGATTGTGAAGTTGACCCAGGACCAGGCAGTATTTCATTCTGTTGTGCATAGTGTTGCTATGAGTTGGTATCAACTTGATGGCACCTAACAACAAAGGTGTCATCTTGAAAGGTTTTCTCAAAGGACACAGGATGATCCTTTGATGACCTTATTAGGAAGAATTTTTTTAAGAAAATTGAAAACTGCATTGGTGAGGAAAAAAAGCCAGGACATTTGCACTGAGGAATTTTCCATCATCAACCCACCCTTATTCTTTGTGTGGAGAAAGGGCTGTCCTATGAGGATTTCATTGGGAAACCTTTCCCCATCCACCATGCATCTTTGGTTTTATCCCTTCAGATATTTGTTCCCAAATGTCAAAGAACATAGAAAAGGAACACAATTTAAGATCCTCAGAGATGTCACAAACTGCTATTTTGATGTAGTGTAGATCAAAGAGGGCAGAGTAAATTGATATTACTGTTATTAAGGAACCCTGCTTGGTAGCTGAGCTTGGTTGCTAACCACAAGATTAGCAGTTCAAATCTACCAGTAGCTCTGCAGGAGAAAGATTAGGCTTAATGCTCCCATAGAGATTTATAGCCTCAGAAATCCAGGTCATTGTGAAGTGCCTGCTAGCCGGTTCTGACGCCTAGCAACCTGTTAGGGTTTCTGAGGCTATAAATCTTTACAGGAGCAGAAAGTCTCAACTTTCTCTCACAGAATGGCTGGTGGACTCAAACTGCCCACCTTGTGGTTTGCAGTCCAGTGTTTATCCTATAGAGCCTTAACACTCCCCACAGGTTAGTATATGTAGTAGTATTTACCATTGTACAACAGCTTAAATTTTTAAAAAATTTTCTTAAGGTAGCATTTCCAGTAATAAAATTTTCTGCTTTAAACCTTGCCATTTTCTTTATTGCATTTGCTAATAATGCATCATGGTGCTGTGGGCTAATGCGTCAGACTGCAAAGTCATTTGAACCACAAGGTTGGCGGTTCAAGCTCACCAGCTGCTCCTTGGAAACCCTTTACAGGGTCGCTTTGGGTTGGAATCGACTTGACAGCACTTAACAACAACAAAATAACATAGCTTATGAATACTGCAATGTAGCATCATTGACTTAACAGGATTTTATATTTGTACATTTCAGCATCGAAATTAGGGGGAAAACTAGAAATGGCTGTGGAGGAACTTCAGTCTATAATAAAGAGATGTGTAAGTAAATTTTTATTTGAGATCATTCAAATTGTTTATCTTCTTTAATCTTTGATTTTTTTCTTTAGCATGAGGTCAGGAAAGCAGAGAGGATCACTTCTCCAGGTCCCTTTTAATTTTAATGCTGATCCTTTTCATAGATTTCTTTGGTAAAGTGGATTTCAAGATCATTCATCAAATTATTTATTAGGGTTATCCTAATTTTCATACCTGTATTTATGGACATTTATCTAAAATTCAGATAGATTTCTCTTTATTCAGAGAGATTAAAAAATCAAATAGTTATTATAATGTATTGACTTTTTATATATGTATTTTTTTTATTGTTATTGTTTGTCAGCAAATCCTAGATGAACAAGACTATAAAGAAGAAGACTTTGGTCTATTTCAGTTAGCAGGCCAAAGATGCATAGATGAAGGGCATATAGACCAGTTATTGGCAATTATTCAACATGAAAAGAACAAGGTAAGAGCTATCTTTGTGTGCTTTTCAATCTTTACTAGAAAGAGAAAACCATATGTTGGTATTATTTATCTATTCATGTATTTATTAAACTTCTAAGTATCAACTAGGAGTCCTGGTATGACACTATTGTTAATGTGGCACTGTGGGTTAATGCTCTGTAGTGCGAAGTTGGTTTGAACCACAAAGTTGGCGGTTCAAGCTCACCAACTGCTACTCGGAAATTGTATAAAGGGTCACTGTGAGTCAGAACAGACTCAACGGCACTTAACAACAACAACATGTGTCAAGTAGAAGAAAAATATAATAGGAAACTATGGAAGACAAAATAAGAATTATGCATATTCCTGAGTTTTAAGATGCTTTCAGTCTGGTAGAAGAGGTAAATATATAAATTACTAGCAATAATGAAGCAGTAGTAGAAGTTGGAGTGGGCTTTAAAAAGTTTGTGGAAAAATAGAAATAAATGATAATGGAGTTTTCCTATGAACTTTTTGAAGACTCTTTGTATAAGTAAAAGTCTTTGTATAAGTAAGAATAATGATTACTTTTGATTTAGAGGATCCAAGAATAGCAT